CTGGGGTCATAGTTAAAAAGACCATATCTAGATCCATCTATGACATACATGTTGTGAGCAACAAGACAATATCCATGCACATACAAGGAAGACCCGTTAATATCACCATCATTTAAATATATGCACCAACAGCCAGAACTAAAGAGGAGGAAATAGAAGATTTCTACAAACTTTTGCAATTGGCAATTGATTGAACATACAACCAAGATGCATTAATAATATTACATGGGTGACTGGAATGCAAAAGTTGGGAACAGAGAAGAAGGATAAGTAGTCAGAAAACATGAATTTGGTGGCAGAAATGAAGATGGATATAGAATGATAGCATTCTGTACGATCAATTAATTATTTTTGCAAGTACCTTTTACAAGAAACACAAGCGGCAACTATACACATGGACTTCACCTAATGTCTACATAGGAATCAGATTGACTACATTTGGGGGGGGGGAATCATTGGAGAAGCTCAGCATCCACTGTGAAAACCAGGCCTGGTGCTGATTGTGGAACAAACCAACTCCCCAAATGCAAATTCAAACTGAAGCTAAAGGAAATGAAATCAAATACACAAGAATCAAAGTTTGACCTTGAGTCTATCCCACCTGAATTTGAAAACCATCTCAGAAACAGGTTTGAGGCCTTGAACACTAAGGAGCAAAGACCAGTTTTCCTTAGCTGTTCATAGTAGTTATACCCTAATTCTCCTTTGCTAACAGCCTTGTGACATGAGGATAATCCCCTCTAGATCCATCCATGTTCTGCAGTGTTCCAGAAGTTCTTCACGATTACACAACGCTCTGTTGTGCAATGTTTCTTTTTAGTGAATGCCTACTGTGTGTGTGTGTGTGTGTGTGTGTGTGTGTGTGTGTGTGTGTGTGTGTATGGTGCTGAAGCAGTGAATTAATTTGGCAAATCCTCTGTGTTCAGGGAGTGTGTAGTGTGGTTTGAGGGTGCACGTAGCTCCGGGCCCCTAACTGGTCCCGATGATGCTAATCGTTGTCTGTAGGCCACTGCCCCCTGTTAGGATGCCTTTGTCCTCTGAGCCTTTGCCTGTGGGTAATCCCTCATCTCTATGGTATTTTGCCAACTGGCTGCCTTTGGCACAAAGTGTCCAGCCAACAGCTTTGGTGGCACAGGAGGTGGCTGGGGCCAGCATTGGCCACCACCCCACATATCTGTCAGGGAAAGGGCGCAATGTTTTCCATCAGCAGTGCACTAGGTCAAAGTTTAGTCAATCAAATGTTGTGTAAGGACTTGCGACGTTGGTGGGTCCAGGGGATAGAGGTCACTGATTCATGAGGCACTTGCTGTTCAATGATTATCTCCCTGTGTTATTGTGGTGAGTGCCACTGACCGTGGCCTGTAGCCAGAAATCTACCCCCTGACGTAGGAGGCAAGCCTCCCTGGGACAGCTGAGGGGCAGGGCGTTCCTACTGGCCAGCATATAAGGCAGAAGGACCTGCTCCCAGACACAGCCTTCCCACTGGGAACACACGCTCAGCAGCGGGAAGAACTCAGGAGTCCTGGGTCTCTGATCTGGACCATCCCAAGGAAAGGAGAGTAAGTAAAGCTTTTTTAATTGACATTCTACAAATGATGAAGAAAACACAAACTCTTGTTCCTTCTCCACAGCCGTCTGGTGGGGCGGAACCCAGACAAATCTGTCAGGTCTGAGCAAAGGTCTGTGACTGTCATTCAGGACACTGTGCTTCTGTTCCAGGAGACCTCGGTGCTACAAACCTGCAGAAATGCCTCCTCAGCTGCAAAACGGCCTGGAGTTCTCCTCCAAAGTCATCCAGGGCACCCTGGACAGCCTGACCTCGGCGGTGAGAGAGTTTGTGGAGAGCAGTGCCAAGCTGTGTCAGCCGGACTACATCCACATCTGTGACGGCTCCGAGGAGGAGAACCAGCGGCTGCTGGACCGCATGGAGCAGGAGGGCGTGATCAAGAAGCTCAGGAAATACGAGAACTGGTGAGTGTCTCCGCTGCCCCACTGTCCTCTCAGGGAGGGGAGAGAGCTGGCTGGAGACCCTGTCCTGGTGGTGGACACTCAGACGACTCCCACCATGGTTGGGCCGAGCCCAGCTTGACTTTCAGGCGCCAGAAGAGTAGCCCAAGCCACAGGTGAGAGGATCCATCCTACAGCAGTTTGCAGATGACATGACATATAAACAGCCCGATGCCGGGACGTCTCTGTAGACGGAGCCCCAAATCATTGGCCCAAATGTGTCATGGCTCGAGTATGGGGATAACTGAAAATAAAACAAAACAGAACAAGACGTGACAACACAAAGGTCCTTGTGAATGATCACAATGAAAGGAATGCAGGCCCGTGATAAGCGAGAGCCTCTTGGTCCAGGCGCTCTCACTGCACTGGCCAAGCTGGCCTGGCTGCCCACAGTGACTGGGTGTCTTTACAGTGCTCCATGTGCTGCTTATGTGACAAAGAATACGATTGTGAGGCCGTCCCTGGGCCATGCTCAGTGGAGGGAGTCCCAGGGCAGCGTGGACAGGCTGTCTGTCTCTCTGCTCCTCACCTTGGCGGTGTTTTGTTTTTTTATCTTTACAGCTGGCTGGCTCTCACTGACCCCAGGGATGTGGCCCGCATAGAAAGCAAGACGGTCATCATCACCCAAGAGCAAAGGGACACAGTGCCCATCCCCAAAGCCGGCCAGAGCCAGTTGGGCCGCTGGATGTCGGAGGAAGACTTTGAGAAGGCCTTCAACGCCCGGTTCCCAGGGTGCATGAAAGGTGACTGGACGTCCATTCAGCGGGGTTGTTAGAAAAAGAGCTGAGGGGGAGAGAGAGAGAGAGAAACTGGTCCCAAGAAACAACAGGCCTTTGTCGCATAGTCCGAGAGGGACACTGAGTAAACAGGCGAGGAGAAAGTTCTTTTTATAGAGGTCTTGGGGAGGGTTAGGGAAGATGAAATCTCTTGGAATTTGGGCCTGTTAACAAACTCAGGTCCCGGCTTTCTGATCAGGTCTGGAGTCTGATCATGATTTATTATTTGGTCTTGTCTCTGTTCTGGCTGTTCTTGAAACCGTCAGGTTCCTCAGGGAGCGACTAGGTCTGGGGGCAACGGCTACATTTGCCCTCCAGACACACCGTGTCACTGAGCCTGTCCCTGTCATGGCTCTCTGCGTTCTGGTCCTCTCCTTCCAGAACACCCGCTGCTGACAGCCCCGCGGAGCACATTCCTGACACCCGTGGGGGCACCATTTGTCTACCTGCCCCATGGCAACTGGCTATTGGAATTTTAACAGGGGCGCTCAGAGCCGTGGGGACCCTGACACTCCAAGTGTATTCTAGTGCACGTGTCTGCTGTAGTTTTACCAAGTCCTGCATTCTTGGACTCTGGAGAGCTTGAGGGCAGGGAACATGGCACTTTTCAGGGCTCTTAGAAGATTTCCAGAGGGGGAGACAGGGAGTGAGCCACTGCACAGGGGTCTCCAGTTAACCCGCCCCCGACTCCTGCCCCAGGTCGCACCATGTACGTCATCCCGTTCAGCATGGGGCCGCTGGGCTCCCCCCTGTCCAAGATCGGCATCGAGCTGACAGACTCGCCCTACGTGGTGGCCAGCATGCGGATCATGACACGCATGGGCTCCGCTGTCCTGCAGGCGCTGGGTGAAGACGGGGAGTTCGTCAAGTGCCTGCACTCCGTCGGCTGCCCCTTGCCTCTGAAAAGTAAGCCTTCCTGTTCCCCAGACTTCAAATGACGGAGCAGGGCTGCCCTGAGGACCTCTGCCCATGTCCTGGGGACCCCTGGCCGGGCACACGCTGACAGGGGACTGTGTCCTCCTTCCAGGGCCTCTGGTCAACAACTGGGCCTGTAACCCGGAGCAGACACTCATCGCCCACCTGCCGGACCGCAGGGAGATCATCTCCTTCGGAAGCGGCTATGGGGGCAACTCCCTTCTGGGGAAGAAGTGTTTCGCTCTACGGATGGCCAGCCGGCTGGCCAAGGAGGAGGGCTGGCTGGCGGAGCACATGCTGGTGAGACTTGAAACTCACACAGGTCCTCACACTCAGGGCACGGCCATGCCCGCGGCCCTCCCCGTGGGAGGTCCGAGAAAAGACTGGGGAATCCCATCAATGAGCACCAGCCCACCTGTGCACCCCCTTCTCAGAGGCCCTCAAGACAGCGACACTAACAGAGCCCCTTTCGGGTTCATTACTTTCTAAATGATACTTGGTAGTGATCCCTCAACTATTTCTTTTTCCTTTTTTCATTCACCAGAGGGAGGTTTTTATTAGAAACACGATACATTCATTCACAAAAGGGAATTCTATACAGCCAGTAAAAGAGACGTCATTAATCAAAGAATGAAGTCAATTGATACAGATATGGAATTGCTATTAGATGCCCCTGAGTCGGAATCGAACTCACAGCTGACCCTCCAGGGAGGTTCAGAGGCTGTAAATCTCTGACGGAGACTGTGCCTCTTTCTCTCACAGAGCTGCTGGTACATCCAAACCATGCGCGTTGGGGTGGAGGTGCAACTCCTTACCCCCCAGGCTGGCAGGCCCCCTAAGACACAGAGGAAGGTCCACAATTCACACGGAATTGCTTTGGTGGGGTTTGGGAGTTTTTTTAAAGACCCAGTAGACAGTACCTGTCAGTCACAGGCCACTCGATGGTGCAGGTCAATAACATCCATAAACAGTTGTGTAGGCGCTGAAGAAGCAGATCTGAGGGGTGACCTTTTTGGTGCTTCCAGGCCGTGGGGTCGCCCCAAGTGGAGGCTGGACTGATGGCAACTAGTTTGGGTTTGGGCTGGGGCAGGCAGGCTCCCAGACTGAAGTCCCAGCCACTGGGGGAGAAACGGACAGGGTCTCACCAAGACTCGCTTCGTCCCCAGATTCTGGGCATCACCAACCCCGACGGTGAGAAGAAGTACTTGGCAGCCGCGTTCCCCAGTGCCTGCGGGAAGACCAATCTGGCCATGATGAACCCCACCCTCCCGGGCTGGAAAGTGGAGTGCGTCGGAGACGACATCGCCTGGATGAAATTTGACGAGCAAGGTGACTCTTTTAAGACCCGGGTACCTTTATCACACCGCTGGATAAGGCTTTTCCTCCGAGAGGGACATCGTCTTAGAAAAGGTGTTCAGTGAAGGATTGGAAGATCCCCAATGGGGTAGATTGACACGGTGACTGCAGCAATGGGCTCAGGTGTGTCAGAGAGGGTAAGGACGGTACAGGACAGGGCAGGGCTCAGGTCTGTTGCTCACAGGGTCACTTTGTGTTGTATTCAGCTTGACAGCACCTACAACAACAGCAATCACTAGTCAAGGAAGAAAGGGCTGGCAGTCAAGCTCCGAAAAGTCAGCCACTGAAAACCCTTCCGGGCAGAGTTCTACTCTGTCATCCATGAGGTCACTGGGGGCCAGAAGTCACTCGACAGCGACTGGTCAGCCGTTGGGGGAAAGCGCCTGGGAGTGGTGCAGTGGTTAGAAACAGTTCAGTGCTAACCAAGAGGTGGGCGGTTCTAACCCCCGACCTGCTCCTTAGGATAACAGCAAGACGTTCTGTGCCTGCAGAGATTTCAGACTCGGGGGCCCTGCAGGCAGTTCCAGCCTGTTCTCAGGTCAGGACTGACATGACCCGTAGGCCCGGCCATCCGTAAAAATGGTGAATTATTGGTCTCTAAGACACATCAAGTTCCAAATCCACAGTAATTAGATTTTAAATGCAGTTGCCCCGGAAGTACACATTCTGCCAGCATTCTTTTGTTTGCCATCTCATCGGGGTCAAAATGGGACCACAGGCTGCTGTCTTAAACAGCTGTGTTAAACAGTATTGCTGGGACACTCACAAACAGAGTGGTGGATAACCCGGAGGTCGGCAGAACACCGTGATGGAAAATGACCAGTGGATATTCTAGAGAGGAAGAAAGCGAAGCGGAGTAGAGAGATGGGTCCGCTCATGAGAGAAACAGGCAGGCGAGTTACCCTCAGCCAGCACTCACCGCCTTTCTCTGCATCGACTTCTCCAGGAAACTTGAGGGCGATCAACCCAGAAAACGGCTTCTTTGGTGTCGCTCCTGGGACCTCTGTGAAGACAAACCCCAATGCCATCAAGACCATTCAGAAAAATACCATCTTCACCAACGTGGCTGAGACCAGCGACGGTGGTGTCTTCTGGGAGGGCTTCGACGAGCCCCTGGGCCCTGGAGTCACACTCACCTCGTGGAAGAACAAGGAGTGGAGCCCGGAGGACGGTAGGCCCTCGGAGGACGCAGCGCTCAGCCGTGGTGGGTGCCAGCTCTCCGGCCCGGCGTTGACACGCCTCTTGCTCTCTCTCCTGTCGTAGGCGAGCCCTGTGCCCACCCCAACTCGCGGTTCTGCACCCCTGCCAGCCAGTGCCCCATCATCGACCCCGCCTGGGAGTCTCCAGAGGGCGTGCCCATCTCTGGCATCATCTTCGGGGGCCGCAGACCAGCTGGTGAGACCTCCCTTTGCTCGGTGGGGCTGCGGGCGTGTTGGCTGCTGAAGGTCACGTGAGACCTCCCCTTGCAGATGATGCCTCGTTCAAACCACTTGCTCTCAGGATGATTGCAACCCGTGCAACCCTCACGCGTGTCACAGCAGGGTTTTCAAAGGCGGGTGTTTCAGGCCTTTAGAAGGTTGCCAAGCCTTTCTTCTGAGGCACCTGCGGGTGAACATAAACCCACAAGCTTCCAACTAGTAGCCAGGGACTCCTTGTTAACCGTCCCCGGACCTGCTGCCTCATGTCCACTCTGATTCGTGGTGGCCCCCTTTGGCTTTCATATAAGAACAGGTTGCCTCACTTTCTCCCTGGGAGCGCCTCATTGATTCAAACCCACAGGTGGGCAGTTAATAGTCTCACACGTAGCTCACCATGTTATCAGGAATACTTACAACCCTGCTAAGGGATGCCAAAGAGCTTCCCTCCCCAAAACCCGGGAAAACTGGCCAGCTGAAACAGAGCATCAGCGCCCCAGCCACCTTGAACCTTTCTGGACACTAGATCTAACGTGGCCTGGTCCAATTTGATGTTGTTTTCCCAGTCTGACATCTGTGGTGCAATTTCAATTTAGTTGGTTTTTCCTCCTTAGCTCCGCGGATGCAGAATTAGCTCCATTAGAAAGCTGTTTTGTGGTGTCCTTCCAATCTGGAGAACGACATTGCCAGCCCAACGGCCTGTGTCAATGCGGCTAAGAGCCCTTTTTTCCTTTTCCTCAAAGGTGTCCCTCTGGTCTACGAAGCCCTCAACTGGCAGCACGGGGTGTTCGTGGGGGCAGCCATGAGGTCAGAGGCCACCGCAGCTGCTGAACACAGAGGTAAATGAGAGCCAGATTTACAGACGCAAAGGAGGGTGATTACTGCTCTGAGCGTGCAGTGAGGGGGCCCTGGTGGTACTGGGGGGAAGATCCGAACTTTGGTGGTTCCGACCCACCAGTCACTATGAAGGGGAAAGAGGTGACTGTCTGCTTATGCAGAGACCTACAGCCCTGGAAATCCTACCGGAGGTTCTGCTCTGGTCTAGAGTTGCTATGAGGGGGAGGGGGAAAGAGGGAGGGAAGGAGGGAGGGAGAGAGAGAGAGAGAGAGAAAGAAGAAGGAGGAGAAGGTGGAAGAGGAGGAGGAGGAGAGAGAGAAGAAGGAGGAGGAGGAGGTACAGAAGGAGGAGGGAGAGGAGAGGAGAGAGAGAGAGAGAAGAGAGAGGAGGGTGAGAGAGAGCAAGCCCACAAGAGAACAGCAAGCATGCTTGTCTCAATGAGAAGTACAAGCCAGTTGGCCCCTAGAGAACCTCCTTTACTGACAGAGTCTCCTCCGCGTGACAGGTAAAGTCATCATGCATGACCCGTTTGCCATGAGACCCTTCTTCGGCTACAACTTCGGCAAATACCTGGCCCACTGGCTCAGCATGGCCCAGCGCCCGGCGGCCAAGCTGCCCAAGATCTTCCATGTCAACTGGTTCCGCAAGGACAAGGAGGGGCGGTTCCTCTGGCCCGGCTTTGGGGAGAACTCCAGGGTCCTGGAATGGATGTTTAACCGGATCAACGGGGAGGACAGCGCCAAGGCCACGGCCATCGGCTATATCCCCAAGGAGGACGCCTTGAACCTGAAAGGCCTGGGCCAGGTCAACCTGAAGGAGCTGTTTAGCATCTCCAAGGAGTTCTGGGAGAAGGAGGTGGAGGACATCCAGACGTACCTGGAGGAGCAGGTCAACGCAGACCTCCCCTACGAAATCGAGAGAGAGCTGCTCTCCCTGAAGGCAAGAGTCAGCCAGATGTAACGAGAAGCCAAGACGCCAGCCTTCCAAGCCGCCCCCTCTCATCCATGAAGGAGACAGGGCAGGAGCAGACAAGGCCTTTCACAGTGGATCCCACCCACAAGATACAGACCCACTGATGAGTCCATCCCCGAGACACACCTTAGCTTTCACATGAGAGCACAGGACGCGGCTAGGAACACTTGTGATCGGGAGGGGAAGCCACGGCACGTCTCCATTAGTTAGTGCACGTCCTCTGTGACTTGGAGGACACTCAGCCACATTATTCTTTTGTCTGTTTTTCACCTTAGTCATCTCAGTTAGCTGGAATGCACAGAAGAAAAAAATACTTGAGCTGTATATATGTGTGTGTGATATATATGTGTGTGAGAATGGATGTGTGTGTACTGTTACCAAAAATATATTTAATATCTTTGGCAAGATCTTGGGAAAGATTACCCACTAGTTGTTGCAACAAAGAAATGTCGCTTTATGACTAATACATGTGTTTAAATTATTTTTGTATACCCTGTTCCTCACCTTCACATAATTCTAAATTTCTTCCTAACCACATCGAGTAAAAAATGACAAAATAAACTTTTGTAGAAAATATAACTTGACTTTGCTTTTTCCCCCCCCCTCCTTATTTGAACCACCTGGAAAATGGGTCTCTCTGATTAAGCAGCTTGTGATCTGAGTTCCTCCTAAACACAGGAAAGGTTTAGGATTGCACCTGAAGGGGGGGACAGGGTGAATGAAATGGGCAGAGTTGTGGCCAAAGCATGAACGGAAAGAATGAAAAGAGAGGGCCTGCTGAGACACATTTAAAGTTCTCTCAGTTAACTGAAGCTACTAATTACCATCTTCTACATAATTGTGTTGTTATTTTCAACTGATTAAACAGATTAAGTGTTGGACTACTAACTGGAAAGTTGCTGTTAGGTGCTACGGAGTCAAGTACGACTCACAGCAACCCTGTGAACAGCAGATCTGAAACGTGTCCTGTCCTGTGTCGTCCTCACCACCCCTGGCCACTCATGGTCATTGCTGCAGTCACCACGTCAGTCCATCTCATTGAGGGTCTTCCTCTCTTTCACTGACCTTTCTAAGCATCATGCCCCTCTCCAAGGAGTAGCTTCTTCTAACAACATGCCCAAAATATGTGAGAGGAAACTTTGCCATACTTGTCTCCAAGGAGCACTCTCACTACCCTTTTTCTAAGACATATTTACTCTTTGGCAGCCCATGGGGCTTTGAGGACTCTTCCCCAACACGACCACTCAAAGATCTCAGTTCTTCTGCCTTCCTTATTTATTGTCCAGCTCTCAGGTGTGTGGCAAATAATTGAAAAGATCATGGCTTGGATTGGGCACACCTTAGTCTTCAAACTGGAATCATTGCCCCCCAGTACTTTGAAAAGGTCCTTGACAGACAATGTGGTCAATGCTAGTCCTCAGCTAGCCCACAGAATAGGTGGCCTCTGTAAGGATTTACAGCCTTGGAAACCATAGGGACAATTCTACTCCGCCCATTGGGTCACTTTCAGTCAGAATTGAGGGTGGTGGGTTTGGAGTACTGCGAGCTGTTCTTGAGTCCAATCTCAGAGGAACACAACACAATGAACAAACCCTGGCCCACGCCTGCACCACCCCGCCGCCAGTTGTGGGTTGGACCAGATCCTTGAGGTTTTCACAGGCCAGTTTTCTGATAAAATGGCCAAGCCCTTCTTCTCCGTGGTTTGTCTTCCTCTGAAAGCGTCTCTGAAACCTGTCCAACATTGTGAGGGAGTGGAAGGAACTCAGGAGTCCCACCCGGAGGCCAGGACACCACCCCTGAGCTGCCACTGCATCCGTTACCGATGCTTACAGTGTGTTGGCTGGAGACGAGGGAGGCCAGTACGCACTTTTTGACAATAATCCAAGTCTGGGGGCTCTGCCTCCCTAAGAATGATATCATGAGACATTTCACAGCCCTGTCAATTATCTCTTTTTAAACCAAAACTTTGTCATCCACAGGGAGGCGGGAAGGGAGGAACGGGCCTCAGGAGAACAGATCGGTGGTGTCTGCCGTCGCACTGACTGGGCACAGCTCCAGTGGTAGTTTGTGGGTCCCTGTGAGTCAAAAGTGACTCAATGAAACCTAACAACAACAACAACTGTGTACTGGGCACAGTGCTCAGTACACAGGGCTATTGTGTGAAGAGACTTTGATCCCAGCGGGGCCCAAACCCCCAACCTAGTCTCTGCTCCCAGTGTTTATGAGAACGTTCTGGAACAATTCTAACAAGCCATAAACTTTTATATCGCACATTCACTCTATAATAGATGCTACTGTTCTCCAGCTGGCCCTTCCTTTCTGGGCCCAGGCTGTTCACAGGACTTTAACCTTCACCTGCTGACACAGAAGTTAAAATATCCAGGTGCTAAGTCAGGGATTCAAAGCACCAGCCTCCCCAAAGGACGAAGACATGGCAGCCTGCTTCTAGAAAGATTTCAGCCTTGGAAACCCAATGAGGTCGTCCGTAAGGTGGCCGTGTGTCGGGGTTGGGTTTGGCTTCACCAGGTCCTTGACCCTTAAAGTGGTGAATCAAAATCAGCCTCATTAAGCTGGCAGGGGGTGGGGGTAAGACTGAGAAAAACTGGATGAAATATGTTTACGGCATTGAAGTCTATGGGGGAGAGAACAGTCTAAAAGTATTCTATTTTAGGGC